ACCATCAAGATCTCATGTGATTTTAAAGGGTTAGGACGTGCTGGCATGGGGTTACCACTACAGCTAAGCTTTAAGAAAAAAAAATTTGTCCCCATCTTGTATGGTGAATCAGCCAAGCTGAGAACTACTATCTTTACTTTTCAGAATTACTAATTTTTCTTAAATAATTTCTGATTAAGAATGGAGCAACATCTCTTCCATTACTTCTGGCTCTCATTTAAGAGCTCTTAAAAAAACAAATAGTGTATTGACAGGAATTCACCCTTATATTTAATATCCATATCTAGTGAAAACATTAGATTCCATTTCTGATTTTATTATTTGAAATATTTTGGCCTCTATGTATTACAAATTAACTATTAAAATTTCGGATAAAACTGATAGCTATGGAAAAATACCAGAAGGGAAAGAAATTGCACTCAGGAAGCAGGACCTTAAGCTAGATGAAACTGTATTGAAAATGAACATAGTGAATTTGTCAGGCAGCTTCTCTATTACCATAAAAAAGTATGATTTCATTTATTTCAGCGTAGCATTGGCAAATTCTGAAAGGCTTTACCATCAGGCAAGGATCTGTCTGAAGCACTGGTGTTTTATCTATTATGATATCACCTCATAATAATGTTACGTAATTTTGCCTTAGACATGCAAATAGGAAAGCATTACTGTTTTTTTTTATCAAGGTATTTGTAAGTCTGAAAGTTCAATCAGTCAGTTAATTGCATTCTCAAAGCATCCAAATATCTTAGGATCTTTAAATAGGTGGCCTTAAATTAATGAACATACCCACATAAGACAACTTTCACACAGAAAACTGGAAATACTTACAGAACTAACAAGATGCGTAAGACAACACCACACTTTGAGCATGCTTTGGCACTGTTTCAATATATTACACTTCCGTAGCTTTTATGAAAAGCTAACTTTTTATTATTTCCTGTTAAGTGTAGGAATGTCCTGTTAAGTGCACAGAAATAGTACTTACAAACACACACAGTTAAGTAATTGCAAATCATGCTTCACGTATTATTAGGTCTTGATCTTGAGAGATTTTTTTTCCTAACAAATATACGTCATGTTTTCTAATAGACACCTAAAATAACAAAACAGTAATTTTTGGTAATGAAACTACCATCCATGGACAGCCTCCCTTTGCACAGTGTTTTCATTCTGCTAGTTCTTCACTTCAATAAGGAAAGTAATCAGAACCCATCTGAAGTTTCAGCTGAAGGAACCAGCGGTTTGATATGAACACATGAAAAGCCTTTCATGAAAACACAAAAATCTAGATTAAAGACAATCTTCTATGATTATCAGTAAGCCATGTCAGCGTCTTGTGGGGCTTACCAGCACCTTAAAAACCAGTAATATTTCATCACAAACTTTCAGACAGGATTATGAGAAACATCCTTATCTTTTATTAACGTTATCATTGTCTTTTTCATATGCTGAACTTTCATCCCATCTTGTACAAAAAGTTCAATTCCTTTGAGATAACCTCAGGAAGCTATCTGAACTCTTTGTATCCTTAAAGTTATTAACACGTTGTTTGTAAATTTTATGACTTCTGAAAGGTAGCAATATATTTGTCAAGTATTTCACAACTACGGAATTGTAGTTGGTTTCATTGGTTTCCTTCTTGGTTACATTGTAGTTTACAGAGTACCTGTAATCATAGGCATCCCTGAGCAGCAAACTACATAGGAACGCCAGAATTAGTCTCAAAAAAAGAAAGGTTTCTACATGGATCTGAAATACAAAGAAAGCCTAGATAGTAAAACTACTTTTTCATTATTATTATTATTTATTTTTTATTATTTATTTATTTATTTATTTAAGAAAAAAGAGAGAGTAGCAATACCACCCACCCCCAAATACAACAGTCTGGAACCATCTCTTCTACAATGACAGCGTAGAGCAATGCTGGATACCGCAGTGAATACTTAATTCAATACTTAACTCAAGCACAGTCACAAAGTGTAGGTTTATAGGTGTATATACTCTCCAGTTCTGTATTTCAGTGACAGCCAAGACATTATGTACGTGACCAAAGCAGTACACAATTCACACTGTAATGAATGTAATGTACACGAGGGAGATCTTTTAATTGCAGTCAATCCTCCTCTTTAGAAAGGAAAAGTCTCTGAAAAGGCTTTTGGGAATGCCAAGACTGCATGACATGGGAAGCTAAAGGAAGAAAAACTACATGCCATATTTAATAGGGGTGGTGAGAACATGGCCTCCATTCTGTGATAATGCAGACATACTGAAATGTGTTTTCAGCCTGAATAGAGACGGCAGTGGAGTTCACAACTGAAATAGGAAAAGAATGCACTCAGAAACACTAACAGAAATCATTAAAGGCACTGCAAGACTATAGAATACAGCTAGGTATGCGTATAAAAGTTGCACTGGAAATGCAGAAGGATGATCTGCTGTTTCAATGTCTGCAATACACAAAACAGCTGAAATTCAACTAGGAAGCATTCTTTATGACAAAAAGAGGTTTTGTTAACAGCTTTTGACCAGGTTTATTGATTAGTTTTTGGCTAAATTTGAGAATTATATATGGAGCCAGCCTGCACTATGTTCTTGGCAGACCTACTGGAGCTATGATGTCAAGGAAAACACATGGACTGCTGCCAGGTGGAGATACAAGGAGCAGTAGGCCTTACACAAATAATTATCTTCAACACCCTAGAGCCAGTTTTTCCTTGTTGTGAGATAGGAGAAAATTCCTCCATCACAAGTGCTCCAATAGAAGATAATACAGAATCAAAGAACCACAGACCAGATCAGATTGGAAAGGACCTCACAAGATCACCAGATCTAACCTTTCACAGGAAAAGGGGAGCTTAGGTGAGATTATCCAGCACCCTGTCCATTCACATCCTGGAAACCTTCAGCATTAGGGACTCTCCCACGTCCCTGGAGAGGTTGCTCCAGTGATTGATTGCTCTCACTTATTTCTTGTATCAAGATGAAACCTCTCCCAGTGCAACTTGTACCTTTGTCCTTTGCCCTTCTAATGGCTCCCCGTAAAAATCACAGAATCAGAATTTCTAGGTTGGAAGAGACCTCAAGATCATCAAGTCCAACCTCTAACCTAACACTAACAGTCCCCACTAAACCATGTCCCTAAGCTCTACATCTAAACGTCTTTTGAAGACTTCCAGGGATGGTGACTCCACCACCTCCCTGGGCAGCCTGTTCCAGTGCCTAACAACCCTTTCGGTAAAGAAGTTCTTCCTAACATCTAACCTAAAAAGAGACACTCCATCCTCCAAGTACTGGAGGACCATGATGTGGTCCTCTCCAAGCCTTCTCTTCTGCAGGGTAAAAAGACCTAACTCCTTCAGTCTTCCCTTACAGGGCAGGTTCCCCAGCCCTGTATCTCAAGTTAAAGGAAATTCCATATAGAGATGCCTCCTTGTCCTGATTGTGTACCTGTGGCAACCTGGCTCTACTTTAAGAGTAGAGTCTTGATATTATTCAGTCTGCCTGTCTAGCTCAGAAATAATTTAGTTAGTAATTTAATCTGCAGTAAACTGGTTTACAAGGAAGTCATTTGATATGGAACACTCGTATAAACGTAGTCTGATGATCAGTGGCAGTTGCTACTGAAATTAACACAAGTTCTGGTAGCTCAAAGCATCTCCAAAAATACAAATAGTTTTATGGATGTGTAAACTGCAGACCTCTGTGACTAACTTTAAGTACTTTCTTGGGGGGGATTTTTTTTTTTTTTTTTTTTTTTTTTTTTTTTTTTTTTTTACAGAACCAGTCCCTCATTTCTTTAAATAAAACATTCAGAAGCTTTTCATACATTTGAAGTTGTACAAAAATAGCAGTATGACATTAACCAAGAGACCCTGCAAAGAACATTTTCAAAGCTCTGAACGGGATTTATTTTTTTTGGTCCATGCAACTCCTACTGTATTTTTGACAGACTTCACACCGTTAAAACCATACATGGTGGCTGACTCCCTGAAATGTAAGGCAAAATTCATTCCAGAGCAAAATTTGCATGGATTCTTACCATCACAATTATTTAAACAAGCTTCCTAACACACCTTTCCTTATATTGGCCATACCAATAAATGTAATAGTGAAAGGTTTATTGAAAGTGATAAAAAAGTTTGTATAGGAAAATATAATCAAACAAGTGGACAGGATCAGTAATTGCAAAACGTCCCTTTAAAGAGAACCCTTTTCTCTTTAATTTCATGGATGACTGGAATTTTCAGTCTGAAAATACATCCAGTGCTCCATGAAATTTACTTGTCTATAAAGTGTCCACTCTTGTTAACACGAACAAATAGATCTATACTTCATTACATATAATTAAACAACAAGTAATCTTGGTCTGATCAAATCTCAAGCATTGACTTCCAAAGAAGATGTGTAACACTGCCTTTTTAGCAATGAAAAATGTAAATTCTTAAGCAATGGTACCTAAGTGATGAAAACATTTCATATTTCCTCCTTTATGAAGTACTTTAGCAATAGTCTAGAAAAGTAGGAGTCCTGGAGATTTCTAATAACATATATTCAGCCTGAAGCTGGATGCTACTCTTTGCTAATATCACTGTACAAATTTGAGCAAGAACTTATGTTAGTGAGGGCAGTTAGTCCCATAATCGTATTATGACAAAGAATGAAATCTCTTACCAGGAACCTACTAATCCGGAAGCCGTCAAAACATCTTTAAAACGTATTTTGCAAAGCAAGTGAGATTAGTTCTATCTTTTTCATGAATCTATCAGAACTTCACAGAAATACACAGTTCTCATAAACAAGGTAGCCAGACATACTCAGAGGGTTAGAATCATTCACATGCATATTTCACCTATGCTTTAGATGGTGGAAAAATGCAACTTAAGGAAATAAACTCTTCTTGTGGTTTAAGACAGAAATCTACAGAGTCTATGGGGACCCCAGTTCCCCCTTGATTTTCTGAATTTCTCAATTCTCTTCATTTTATAGAACCCTGCATGATGAAAAGGGTTAGGATTCCCAGACAGGCAAAAGATACATAGTTTTCTTTTTTTTTTTTTTTTCTCTCCATTAATTACATATCTATGCTGTTCTTAATCAGCTGAAAGTTCTTCACTTCCAAGTAACACACACTAACAAGTTATCTTGGACTAGAACATGCATTAGCATTAGGATTTCTGGAGTAAATGCTCACAGGAATACTATCATCACATGGTGGAAAATTATAGCATTGACCTCTTTCTGCACTGAGTGCTAAAAATGAACCCATTAGTATTTCCTATTTCTTGCTACACTTACAGGACAAACAGAATTGCCAAAATATGTCAATAATGGATTAAGAATATAGAAAGCTCTGAGACGAGAGCAGAGGCACTTACAAAGACTAAAATGCTATCCATATGCATAATTTCAAGTAGAACTTGCCCAAAGCAAAATCAGACTTAAACGTGTATTAGACAAAAGCCGAAGACTGGAAGTTCTTGGTTTACCATGTTTGTTATGCACTTTACAAAACACCTTGAAAAGTTCAACTGCAGTTTTCCACATAAAAATCACATCACATATCACTGTTCAAGCATCATGAAAGATGACCTGAAGGCAGAAAAATAATGGGGTTTGAACAAGCTTTCCATATTTTACTTTGGGATTGGAAAAAGTATGCACAGCTTTCCACATGGGAAAGTGAAAACATCCGGAGTCATCTTTGTCAAGTTGTAGCTCTGGAAACACATTCCCAATCTGGAAAAGATGAGGTGTTTTTTTGTTTTTGTTTTTGTTTTTTTTTCCAATAAATAGAGCATGCTGTTGCTTGTAATATTTGCAATACCTTGGAAAGCTTAGTTTGAAACAAATAAATATAAGGATGCAGAAAGTTTGCCTATCTATCTAGACAAGGACATCCCTGTCCTCATTAAATTCTATTCCCTATTTTCAAAGAACAGCCTGTGCTTTATTTTTGCCTATAGTTCTAATGCCAACTACTTCAGTGGTGGCACTCTCAACACTCTCAATGCCATTCCTAATGGTACAGTCTTTCATGTACTCTCTACTAGAAGTATAGCGAGTGCAAAATACTCAGCAACAGCCACATAGAACAAATTTGACCCACAAAACACGATAGGAAATATAATGGTTTGTATCTTTACAAATGTATGCATAAAACAAAAGACTAATACCTCTAGCTAAGAGAGTTTTAAATCCATATAAAATATTTAAATAGCCACCCTTTCCCTGCTGTGAAAAATCCTAATTACTGAGCTGATTAAAATACCTTATAAGCATCTCGGTTCACCTGTTTTACTTCAGAAGCCAATAACAAAAAAGGTTTATCAATATAAAAATCAATTTGCATGATTTTTGCCCATATAATCCTGTTTTTCTTCTTTCTTTACACTTTATACATTGGCAGTATTGTCTGGTTTGACAGAACCAGGGCAGAGAGTTCCTGAGGTAAAGCTGTACAGCAAATATTCACTGACACATACACATTACAATATGTTGATTATTATATGCTATTTGCAAAATAAACAATGTGTATTGTTCCATGCTTTTTTTTTTAATGCATACAGAAGACATTTGGCAACAAAAATTACTGAATATATCATTATTGACACTATAATAAAGCTTCTGATCAGTGGCCCATGTTTTTATCTTGCTGTGCTCTACTACTCTTATTCATTTACTACATAGTATGGAATGAAAAAGTGAAAACAAGAGTGGCCTCCTTATACACGTGAACTCTTTACCAGTCATTTTCCAGCTCCAGGGAAAGAACAGTGTTTCTCAAAACTACAATTTCAATTAGATGGTATTTTTCTCTTAAAGCCCATCCTTTGCATCTTATTTTGCAGTGGAGGTGCGGAGGTTAAATCCAAGTTGTTATCAAGCTAACACAGGGCTTACTAAGAAACCTTTTCCTTAGTAAGGACTAAACGGGTTTTATTGAACTTAGCTAGGGCCACATGTTAATGCACATTTTTATGTTCATATGCTTTTTTTCCTTTCTTTAAAGTGAAAGCTGTAGACTGTTTGGAATGCAGTAACACTGCCATATCTACCCACTCATCGCTATTTCAAGCTGTTGGCATTTTACCCCACCATTAAACCCATCAACATTTACACAACCACAGACATTACAGAAAATAGTTTAAAACATGCAATAGACGTACTTTCTGTCATTGACCTTGTACCTATAGGTGAAAAGTTGATACTCTATTCAGGACACATCACATACATACAGTTCCAACCCACACAGAACTATACAGAAAAAAAAAAAAAAAAAAAAAAAATCAAAAAAACACCAGGTTGAAACAACTCTATGCAACAAAAACCACCAGGTTGAAACAACTCTATGCAACAACTTCATTGAAATGGCTGATGTGGAAAACAAATGGCATTTCTATCATGAAAACTAGCTATAAGGAACTATCAGAAACTTCCAAAGAAACCACAAAAGATAAGAGAGGAAAAAAAAAAAAATCAGTTTTGTGATAGTAAGAGTTTGTTAATTTACTGAACTGTACCTGTAGAGATTCCCAGTCCTCTCCTGTCTTCTTTTGACATTCTGCAGAGGATTGATGTATTAGCAGCACCTTGTAGGTGCTTTCAGGATCATTTACCATTAGCTGCAATGCTATTTAAATTTAGATAGGTATGAGACATAAGGTTATGATTAATACAGAGAAAACCACATCTAAAGACAGAATGGCTTTGGTCTGTTGACAGTTTAAGAATTTAATGTATTCTTATGTAGATTATAGGAGCAAACTGTGCCAGGACAGGCAGAGGCAGTGCTAACTAAAGACACAGGCAGAAGAAAATGCTCGTTCTTTACACTCATAGTGCCAGTGGCTGTGTGAGAAGAACCTGCTCAGTAGAAGAGCACTGCAAACGCACTGTCCCTCAGACTGAAGATCACTGGAAATAGCTCTGGCAGGGAAGAGCCTTGCAAGGTTAGAAATAACAAGGGGGGGAGGGGGAGGTTGGAGAAACAGCACGGTTGAACCTACCTTTAAGTAAACTTTCACGATTCTCAGCCATTTTAGTGGGAACTTAAATACTGGTAAATATCTACAGACACCTAGCAGCAGGTACACGCAGCCCCTCACCTGCAGAAGGCAAACAAGCGCTTTCCTCGCCTGCCCTCTCACCACACAGCCTCCCCGCGGTGCGGCTGGGGCCGGCAGCCTGGGGCAGCCCGGGGGGAGGCAGGGCTCAGCCCAGCGCCCCACCAGCAGCCGGGCACCTCCGTGGGGCCATGGCCGGGCAGGGCTGTGGGGAGCTGGAGCCCGGCCCTGCTGCGGCCCCACTGGGGCAGGGGCTGGCAGCCCCGAGGCTGCCGTGGGGCCCGGGCCTGGGCGGTGCTGGCGGTGCCCTCAGGGCTGTGACAAACACGGGGCACCTGAGCCATGCAGCTGCAAGAGTGAAAAATAAACTTTCCTCGTGTCGTTCATCCATTTTGTCTCGAGTTCAGTGAATGCTGGGAGAGGAGCTTAGAAAATAAGCCTATACTTTTTTTCTTCTTCTTCTTCTTTTCCCTCTCTCTGAAGCACAGAGGTATTCAATAACAATAACAATTATGAACTTAATATCAGGGCTTAGTATTTCATTTCATGGAGGTCCCAGTGGTCTTCACAGGGATATACTAGAGGTAAAGTGAATAGTCTGCAGTCTATTTATAAATTACAGGAGGATGATGAAAGGATAGCAAGAGTATCTGAAAGGAACAGGCAGTGGAAGAGTAGTAAACATGAAAATAAAACAGGAAAGGAAAAGGGAGCTTGGAGACACTGTTGGCAGTACAAGCACAACATGGAAGAAATACAGAAGTAGAGTTCTTCCATAAAAATCAGGTATCCTAACTTCATGTTTATTCTCATTTTCTTCGCTGCAAGTAACTTTTTACTAAGTATGAATTCTACTAAGCTCAGCAATCCATAATGCCAAGCATTTATGTAATAAATGCATTGCAGATAACTAAATAAAGCTTGGCAGACTGGCTAGATATGAACTGAAGCATGTGCATTCTCTTACCTTAAAATGTTATCTAGAAGCACCATGAAAGTTCATAAGCTCATGCAGTTCCATTGATACCGGTGGAGCTGTGTCAATTACCACCAATGGAGATACCCTGGGGAAAAAAATACTTTGAAAAATGAACATATATATATCCAATATATATTTGGATAGAATCCTACAGCCCATTGCTAATTTAGAAAAATATCTCAACACTTACATGGCCTGGCTGAAAGCTGCTGCTATGGCTCTGTTTTGTATCTATGGAAACATTTTCAAGCTTCCCAACACCTCCTACACAGGTATCCTGTTAGATTCAGAACGAAGTAACTTTTCCATAAAATGTGACCTGAGGAAAATTCCAAAAAAGAAAAGCTTACCATGCAACATGCAAAGATTTTACACTTCATTGGTGAAACATACAGTAAATTGCAATCAACACCCTTCTAAAGAGAGGGAAGAAAGAAAGAAAGAAAGAAAGAAAGAAAGAAAGAAGAAGAAAGAAAGAAAGAAAGAAAGAAAGAAAGAAAGAAAGACTATCCGATTCAAGAACAAGATTTAAGAAGCTGCCTTCATCAAATATATAACTAGAGAAAGACCAAATGTGAGCATTTATTAGATTACTGAATATATAAATTCATCTAACTTAAATGACAAGGGAGTTTTGACTGATTGCTTGTTTAGAAATAGCTCCTTCTGTCAGTGACTAAAACTTCAGAAGTATAGATATACTTGCAAGTAAGGCCTAACACAGCACATTAGAAATCAAATTATCCACCAACTCAGAATTTTAACTTTTCTTATAAAGCACTCAACATTAAAATAGCCAACGTTCTCCAGCTCTTTAATGGTCACAATAACTGGATTTGGGCTAACAGATTCTTTTTGGAAGAAGATTGCTATGATACTGGTATGACTTACTCCTGCAAAACAAAAAGGAATAACCACCCACTCAACTCATAAGCTTTATGGCATCATTGGTCTCCTTTACATCAAACAAAATGCCAAAAAGATGTGTACAGAAGGTGGTATTGGGAGGTAGCTTTTCCAAGGAGGAAAAAAGAAGCCCTGTCAAAGGCACACGAGGATGGAATTAGGACAGGACAGGTAATGAAATTGTCTTCTATGAATACACTGGCAACAGAACACAACCAAAAAAAAAATCAAGCAGCACATAGGAAAGGTCAAGAGCAAAATCTATTTTTTGCCCTGCTTTTCACTGGTGAGGTCAGCTCCCAGGCCTCGAAAGTCTATCTAGTAGCATAGTAGAGAAAGATTAAGTTAGGGAGCAGTAAAGCAAATTATATATAAGTCTCTAGGCCCATATGGGGTGCATCTGGGAATGCAGAGCTAGTTGATGTCTTCACATCCACTTTTTGGGACTTCACAAGGCCATTTCATCATCTTTGCAATGTGGCGACTGAGAGATAAGGGGTCTACTGCCTAAAAGCAAGCATATGTTAGTCTCATCTCCAAACACAACATGAAGGTGTATTTGGTGAATTACAGGCCATCCAGTTTCACCACAGCCCTCAAAATTATGGAAGCCCTTTGCAGGGATGGGAGGGACAAGGAGGCTGGAAACAGCCAGCACAGATTTAGTGAAAGTAAATCTTTTTATGATGATGTGATTTGCTCTGCAGATAAAGAGAGAGAGGTGGACATGGCTTATCTTCACTTCAGCAACACTCTCAAAATGTCTGAATTTCTCTGTGACTTAAAAGGTGGGCCATCTTTCTAGTTAAGTCACCTAGACATAATGCAGAGGTGGTAAGGAGAAATAACAGTTTGGAGGCACTTTTTACTGTCTCAGTAATAGTGGGAATGTCAGTAACTTTCTTGGTTTAACATACCTAAATTTTAAATGGCTAAATTTAAATAATTCTATTATGAGATGTTTGTACAAAGTCCAGGTCATATTTTCTGGAAAACTGTGTGAGCAAACTACTGTATGATTAGACTAATAAAACATTGAAAATATATATAGTTGTGTGTTTGAACTTAAAAGTGATTCCTATCCTTTGATTAGAAATAAAAACAGATGTAAAAGATTGTGTTTATCAAAACAATCGCTGCTGGTAATATCACTGCTGCTGTGGTTCAATCAGTTCAGCTGACAAATGACAAAAGGAGCCATTCTGTTCACATACCATACCACTGCGGGTGTAAGGATACAAAATTCTTCTTTTCTGTTTACCTCTGACAAAACCATGCGATCTCTCTGGTTCATGAAAACAATAATCGGTAATAGCCTTAATTCAGAGAACAACATTAGGAAAGTTAACTTTGCTGGTAACACCAGAAAAACTGTTTGAAGAAGGAAAAGCTATGATCAGGTAGCTTAAATTCTGTTTAAGTCCTTGTTATTGTTTCCTGTTTGCCTGCTTTAGTGTAGGTTCTCTTTCATGGCCTCGTTGAGGTCTTTTGAACTGTTCTCTGAGTGCCTTTCTCACCACTGAGAAAACACAATGATTTTGTAGGAATTTGCGCTGAATTAAGTCTGAGGAGCCTGGAGAAGAGTGATGCAATAGGAGGGAAATGAACACTCACAAATAAGGTGATAACTCTACAAAAGAAATGCTTGCTGATACTCGTTAAAAATGAATGAATTAATAAATAAATAAGATTATCTAAAATAGTTTTATTTCAGCCATCTAAGAGAAGTCTTATTTTGATGAGTACTTGTGTTTTGAACTAAGTTCTGAAAATGTTAAGGGGGATAGGCCAGAGGCAGTCAGAAAGTAGCTACAAGACATAACCTAAACCCCCTTCCATGCTGAATCCTTACCTCTAGCATAGAACATTGGACTTCAGGTAGAATATATGGCAAAAAAAACAGTAACCCTACAGATTATCGCTAGCAAAGTTATCTGAAGGGTGTACATAATTGTCATAATTTGATATGTAGAATTGCTTGTCTGTAGATACGTAGAATGTTTGTCTGTAGAATTCTTCCCCAAATAGCTCAAGGAACAAAATTAGTTTTAGCATAAACTTTCAAGAACTGAGTAACAGGTTTTCCCAGTGATTTTGGGGTTTAAATAGTAATTCTTGCACTTACTGTGCACAAAGTAAGTTCATTTGTACAGAATGATATACATAATTAAGAGAGTCCCTAAGCTCTATGTCATATATATAACAAGTTCCTTCCTGTACAAGCAAAACATTGTATTGTTACATAGCCTATTATTTTACAGAGGTTTGAGATTACCTTTTCTTCTCTGAAATTGATCTTAAAAAAATCCCAATAAATATAGTGACCTCCTGAGGTTTACAGATAAAATTTGCTTAAAGCACCATTACTCTAGGATCTGCTAGAATAGACAGACAATATGATATTTAAGATATTCCCTTTTGAATTTGTTTTAATTCAGAAACAATGTGTAGAGAGACAATTCTATGGACTGTGGTACCATAAGAACTGAAAAACTTAAGTCCATAGATGGTAGCTGGATTAAAACTCATAGATGTATAAGTGTGCTACCATTCTTGGAGGGTGGCGGGGGAGGGGGAATCTACTTTGCCTTTTTGCTTTCTAATTTATCTTACTCAATGACCACAACACAGGAGTTTCACAACTCTTCCACTACTAAATGTGGCTGATAGAGAAGTGTGTGGGCTTAAACCACCCCTCCCTCAGGTGGTTGCAGAGAAGTGTGTGGGCTTAAACCACCCCTCCCTCAGGTGGTTGCATGTAGCCAGATTGCTTTCCAATTGCAAACTGAACTACAGCAAAGAACAGTCACCAGTGGGGGAAAGGGCAGAGGAAAGCAAGACCTTACCAGTATTATTTTATTGCATTCTACTACGTGTTTTTATGCTCTTGACAGCTGAAAACTCTTTTCCCCTTCCTGTATTAAGTGACTGGCACTTCTTTCAATGTGTTACCTTGTTAGAGGTTTTACGAGATATGCATGCCTTCTTTCAAAGACAACTCTAAGGGACGGAGGGAAAACAAAATATGGAAGCCTGAGACAAATGCAACGCTGTGAGACAGATGCCCTAATGGTGATAGCAATAGGCAGAAGAATAATCAGTACAACTAAATATTAGGTAAGGAGTTCCAAACTAAATGATTCTACAATTATGAGAAATTTAAATAAAACATGAAATAGATGCGTGTTTCCTTGAGCTTCTTTCAGAGACAAAAATACTACTGTTTTTCATACCTTTTATAGAGAGCTGTAGCTGCAGTGCACGTCCTATTTCTTGCTTCAAAATAAAAAGGAAATAAAAGATTCTGCTGTTACTTTTCCAGTCTCTGGGCATTCCATCTTTTTTTACCCCAGGGCTGAATTTGGCCTCTATCTCATCAAATGATCCATATCAAATATAATGATCTTTTGACAGTATCAGATTGTCACTTCAATTTTGTGCATGGTTTTTTCTGTTTACCTTGCCTGTTCTCCCCAAGCTTTTTATACTGATAGTGCAGGCTCATCTTTTCAATGTAATTTAAAGTTTCTAGTACATCTGATTGAGTAACAGTAATTGAAAAACAATTCAGATAACAGCTTCAAATATCTTTTTCATTTTTTTTCTTAGATGAGAAAAAAATATTTTTTTCATTATTCACAAATGCATATGAACTAGCCAGCTGGTCTGCTGTTGAGCACTTTGTGTGTTATTGTGTGCTTAGACAATTATAAAAGAATTTACCAATGGATTTCTCCTGGCATGTTCATACCGTTAATGTAACTACATCTAATCTCTTTATTGTTTTGACCAGTGCCTTTGAACCACTGAAGAGAGATTCCCTGTGTTATAATAATGGCTATTTCATAAAACTCAATTTTGGAATAGGTGGATTAATTCCAGTTTTTGGAATTACAGATACCTATAATCATATGCATAAGGATATTACACAGTATGGTACCTATGACAGCAGTGACTCATGATGTCTTGGGACATCAGTTTTGTTTGCTTTTAAGGTAGTGAGAATCAATTTTCCTCCTGCTCAGAAAAACAGATTCTTCACAACCATTACCTTACAGTTGGGGAGTAGGACTTTTAAATTGATTAGAATTGTCACCTCTGAAAACTTTAATATAAAACAATAATTACCAGTTAGTAAAAAATATTTCACACTCAAGCATTCGCTTTTATCTCTTTTAGGGACTTGAATTTCACCCATTCATAAAACTGACCTGGCTTGTTTGTCATGTTATTATATACGCTATTTTTGAGCTAAGGTCACTACTTAGAAAGTTGAATAGCTTACTGCAGGACTGAATATATTCTGGACTAAAAAAAATATTTATGTACATGTTCAGTCAAGACCCTGGTTGAGAAGGTTTCAAGTCCTTGAAAAAATTAAGGAAGATAAACAGTGAGCAAAAATGAAAAAATAGGAAATGAATCATTGCAGAAGCTTCCTACCTGAAGAGATTTGGATGTCTAAGTCTTCTCCTTGCCAGAAAGCTGGCACTACAGATGTAGGAGGTGACAGAAAACTGAAAAAATAAATCACAAATGTAAATGCACACTTTCTCCCCCCCCCCCCCCCCGATGTGGCTTACTGAAGCTCAGCCTCTCCCTGATGTGCTTAACTTTCCTGGTTTTAATTTTAAATTTCCCTCAAAGCTACTTCACAGGTGCTCTGCACCGAGGAGGCAGGGGAGGAGGGTAGCACAGGTGTCTCTGCAGATCTCAGTTAGAATGGCATGACAGTAGATCTCAAAAAATAAAATACTTTTTAAGTAATGACATAGCAATAGGAAGGAGAAGAGTAAAATGTATATTCCTTCAGGTCTAAATGCCACATGAGAGAACATAAATATTTTGTTGATTAGGCCAGCTAGGGAACTGAATCACACAGGCATATGCAGTGTATCTGTAGCAGTGATGGTTATTGCACCACCCAATTTGTACAAAAACCAGGGTGTTTGCAAATCTTGTTCTCGGAAGGAGTTTCTGGAGATTCTCCACACTACGGTGCCAGAAAAAAAAAAAAAAAAAAAAAAAAAAAAAAAAAAAAAAAGGTAGGTTGATGACTTAGGGACATGGAAAAGGAGTTGTTGTTGTTATAAGCATAAAAACAAGTTCCTAATTCTAAACAAGGACAGAGTATTTACTTAATAGTAATACGTATCCCTCTTGTCAAAACAGAAAGTGATAAATAACAGAACCATATCAATATACTGCACACTGCGCTGGGGTTCTTTAATGAATATGGCTGAGTTTCAGGAGGAAAAAAATGAATGAGCCTGGGCTGCTGCAACCTGGAAGGGCTGAGGGAAGAGGGAAGCTATGGGGGCTTTCTGGAGGGGAACAGAGCATCCCCTTGCTGCTATGTGCTCCTAAAAGGGCTTGGGGAGCAGGGCCTGGGAGAGGGATTCTGGGGCAGGAGCTGAAAGATCACCTTCACTGAGAGCAGATGCAGTGCCCAGCCTTAGAGATGGTGGAAGGATTTCCTCAGAGACCGACAAGAGACTGTGGAGTTCCCTGTAATTCAGGAAGCCAATGACGTTTCTGTGCTTAATAGCAAGTCTGAAGAAAGTAAACAAGCTATGGTGAACATGGAAATCTTTCTCGTTCATTCTCACTGTGGGGTCTGGCAGCTCCCTGAGGCCAATAGAATGGGGTGTCCCCAGGGGGGCCAGACAAGGCCCACAGGCACGGCCCGTCCCAGTGCCCCACCCAGGAGGGGGGCACTGGGGCGCACTGGTGGCAGTCCCTGCCCTGGGCACAGGCCCTCTCCTGGGGCTGGGGCCAGGCCATGGGCCTGTGCATGGACCCAGCTGGGCAAGGGAGCCATGGCTTGGCAGGGCCATGGCTGGGGCAGGGCAGGCTGTGGGGTGCTGGATCCCAGCCCTACTGTGGCCTCAGTGGGGCAAGGGCTGGGCGGCCCTGGGGTTGTCATGGGGCCTGGGCTTGGGCCTGAGAAGGGACAGGTGGAGCTGATGGTGCTTTTGTCTATTTAAAGGTTTATCTTGCTCAATATAATTATTAGTGTGTTCTATTAAAACATTTAAAAACAAAACAAAAAACTGAGACGTTCAGTGTCCTGTTTGAATTGAAGGAAAGCTGAAGCATTTTCATTTCAAAGTTCTATCTGATCCCTTCACAACTCGATCTCTGTAACGATTTTGAAATAGCAGATACATGTGAAAATGAAAAAACAGGTGGGGGTTTAGTCAAAAAAGAGAATACATTTCTTTGAAGATGATGCATAACTGAGGGCATTAGCCCACCTTATTTGGGATAATACCTCAAATTACCTCAATAGGTTTCCAGATAAAATGACCACTTATTTGACAACAAAGAACCTTCACAGAAAGTAAAGGCAGAATTGTTCTTGTCCTTCAACCACTTGCTCCTGTGAGAGACAAGTATCTGGAAACATATCATAATAGCATCAAAGTTAAAGTGCTCTGTGAGATCTCAAAATGCTTTCTAAGGCACTGTCTATAAATCTTGTTACCTGTAGGGTAAAAAACTGGCATGTTTAGAAGCTGTAGAAATCTAATGGTAATGCCTGGTGGTATGAATCTGTATGTAAGCACCTCAGACCTCTGTCAAAATTCTCCAGAAAGGACTTCACATCTCCATGCAAGTGCAATACCACAGACCCTGCTGGGTTCTCCCTACTTTTCCTCTTATGCTTTCTCTTTAAAAGCTTTTGCACCTGGTTTTATCTTCTAAAGAGGGGCTGGCAAATTTGGATCCAGTTTCATTAGTGTATTGTGCTTCAGACATTTCTGTAGCTCAACAAGTGTTTCTCTAGCTCAACGCTTCTGGAAAAATGAGATATCAGGCTTTCAACCCTTCTGAAAATCCCAGTTGTCAATTGTTGATTCATCTGTTGCTTGGAGTGTTGTGTCAGTATTAAGTTGCATTAATAGTTTGGTGCTGAGTAGACTAATGGAGAATTACTTTGTTATATGTAACTGGAAAAAAAGTTACCATAGTAAAACAAATAGGAGAAAATTGAAAACAGAAACAAATGCCTTGAAGCTTTTCATTGTGAGAAGGGTGCATGTGTTTGGGTCTCCTTAGAAAGTGTAAAAAGATAAGTATTATATTCTAACAATTCAGAAATGTATCGTGTTGGTTAGGGGAGGAAAAAAAATGCACACACAAAAAAAAAAATAATGGTGGAAGAGTTTCAGATTCAGTAGGATATGTGCAGTCCGGGAAATCAGAATCGATGTAGAATCAGTTAGAATAATTATGTAATAGTTCAAAAATATATTAAATTAAGAGCTATAGTGGGAAATGCATTTCATTTAATAGGTGCAATCCACATCATAAGATTCCTTGCAGTCATGGACTGCATCTCAGCTCTTAGTTGGAAGAATCACCTCAAGTCACAAGAGGGCAATTTAGTCTCAAAGTCCATTCCTCTTTGTCTTTCTGTTAATGCTCTTGAGAAAGGAGGCCAATTAGCGCTAGCAACTGGTACAGAGATAGCATTTATTCTTGTGTCACATAAAGCATGAATTATTCTTTTTTTGCACGACTTTAAGATATTTCCTTTGACTGTGCCAGCCACTTAAAAGTACAGTGGCAGTAAAATAAAATATAACAGGAAATAAGAGGTTATCTAAATCTTTTCAGAGCTCAAAGATTGACCAATACCTGATACTGGCTGGGGAAACGCTGAAGGGTAATTTGTATTTGAGAATTAATATTTTGTTAAAAGGTAAACATTTCCTTATCAGTAAATTCAAATAATGTGATTGGCATTTCGTTTGTAAAAAACAAAACAGAACATAACACAGATTTTGTTAGGAAGGAGGGATTGTCCATTTCAATCCTAATGAATTAATTCATTCTTCATTAAGAGAGAAAATTTTTTCTGACTGTATTCAAAAATATATCAAAAAAATAACAAAACAAAGTGTACAAAAAAAAAAAAGAAATACAAAATACAAGTACTGATTGCCTTATGTTCAGCCAACCAATATGCTGTAGAAACTCATCTACACGTCCTCACAGAACTATAAATGCAGCATTTTGAAAAAGATCTTCTGTTTGATCAGTTTAGCTCGTTTTTTTAAAAAACTTTTGTTATTGTTGTTCTTACAGGAAATAGAAAAAATGTATGAAAAGAAGTCCAAGACACAAATTAAAAACAAGTCATAAGTACAGAACGAGGCATAACTACAGAGTGAAAAACTAATCTTATCTGAAAATGTTAAGTGATTGTCTGCTGAGGCAGAAACCAAAGAAAGGCAAGCAAGACATAAATTCCTAGTATCTCATGCCAAACTCGAAGGGAAACTGTCAAATGCACTGCTACTGAAAAGAATGCAAAAGAAAATGAACATCATCTGTAACAGAAGAGTGTCATCCTGCACTCTCTGTTACAAACAGCCCAACACCATCAGTTTCACTAGTTATGTTAACACAGCCCAAAGGTGGCCAACACTCAAGACTTCAAGTTAAAGGGTAAGTGGTCCATATTGCTAGGTTGTAGCCATTTGTTAACGTGAACATAAGTTTCACTAGTTAACTCGTGATTAAAAGAGAGTTTATACATATAATGATGACTGACATGCTGAACTGCATTTTGAATATATCTGGTCTCTAAGAAAAATCAGAAACTACTTCAGATTACTTGGGAAATGATTACATTACTTTGAGAAACTACATTGTGGATGAAAACATGTTAAAGAAAGTACTATTAGCAATCAGAAATGTAGCAGGATAGTTGTTCACTAGTTAGTGAAGGATGGGCCAAGAAGCAGGCCATGTCCTTGGGAATAAAAACATGCACAGTGGCAGTTCCTGCAGAATCAGTGGTGTATTTGATGTTCATAGTCAGATACGCTTTCATTAATTTTCTTATACACTCCTAAGCTTTTTAAATGTGTATTTACTTCTTGCTAAAAATGGCTTTTAGTGTTTCTGTATGCAATTTAAAATATGCAAAAGATGAAGAATTAATCAAGCTTTTCAGAATGTCAGGAAACAAACTGAATTTGCTTTAGTTTAACTTTTGATTAGAGATTAGTTTGGCTTCTTAATAGGGTTTGGAAATTTCCATCTTGCTGGGATCACCAAGTGCTAACTGACTTCATCTGACACACTGCATGATAGCAAATGACATCATGATATGGCATATCCAAGGTGAATGTCACCACTAGATAGCAGTAATTTGTGCTAATGTAATGCCTCATGCAAAGCACCAGATATTCCTCCACCTATAAATAGTGATGCCAGACTATGGTAGGCAATTTGACTGACAAGCAAGGACTTGCGACAGCAGCAAGATGCAGTAGCTCAGCAAGGGCACTGGAGAAGAGTTCAGGAACGTTAGGCCATTATTACAAATCTATTAAATTATACTGACAAGAAACTCTTCTAAACTTTGGCAACTATGTTTGCACTTCCACTTCTTCCCCATGTTCTTGTGACTCGTGTGAAACAAAACAGTGCCAAACACCTAACTTTCAGTAGCGTGTTTCTCTGCAAGGTCCATTTCCCTATTCCCTTTTGTAGTATACCCAAATGGAGTTAGGTGCCAAAACGTCTGTACAAGCCAACAGGAGAGTGAGGTTCTTGATAGTGTCACAGTGGTGAAAGTAAAA